CTCCATGTGCCCCGTTGAAGTTTGTTGCATGGAGTCAAACAGACCAAAAGAAGTAGAATGTCGAATGTGGCAGTCTTCAAATCAAAGATGTACCCTCATCCCTAGGCCCTTTTGCAAGGAACCATTCTCAATCCTCCAGAATCCTCCAACATCTTGCACTTATGTTCAAATGAAGGATACCCAGCGCCTCAATCCTTCAAAATCTTCAGACAGTCCTGCCTCTCAAAATCCATTAATCCTCAATCCTCCAAAATCATCCTCTTCTTCAAACACCATTCATCCTCGATCCTCCAAAATCCTCATGTGCAAATACACCATTCATCCTCAATCCTCTAAAATTCTCATCAAACACCATTCCTCCTCAATCCTCCAAAATTATCCTCTTCTTCAAACACCATTCATTCTCAATCCTCCAAAATTCTTCTCTTCTTACACCATTCATCATCAATCCTCCAAAAGCCTCATGTTTCTCAAACACCATTCATCCTCAATCCTCCAAAACCGCCATTTTGGAGGATTGAGGAGGGTTAGTTAATGACTGACGCATCAAGCGTGGGTACGGCGCCACTTTCGTTATTTTCCTGGTCTATACGTATCCCGTTACTAGATCGAAAGATCGACTTGAAATCAGCCTATATGTTCAGGTCTACGATTTGACACTGTTAAGATGTTCCTTATAAATAGTTAAATTGAACCTTTAATATTCATTGATTATTTCGTCACAAGGCCGACTAGAAACGTAGGCTATAAGGTTTGCAATCCTCAAAAAGATTGAAAGAAAATCATGATAGCATTTATATTGTATTGTTCACGTTTCCTATTTTGAGAAGTTTGTTTCCTAGATTTATCATGACATTTCTTCCCCAGTTATTTCTATCATTTTCATTACATCAAATACTTGACGATTTCTGTAACAGCGTTAATATAATCCCTTGACATTCATACACTCTGATTATGACTTTACTAAAAACAAATTGCACATAATCTTGCAATGTGAAGGAGGGTCGTACGTACAGTTTCAATAATTTATCTCATTTTGTTTTTACATTTTTCCTTCTCGAAAGTAAATAAACAAGTAAATTGCAATATCAAAGCGAATTCGTCAGGACATAAAAATTGTCATTTTCATCTCCAATCATGATGTTTTGCAGTCATAAATTCCTACGCCATCTGAATTTAACCCGATCGCTTCTCCAATTTTTTCTTATTTATTCCGATGTGTAATTTATGCACATCAATGCTCAGTTATCTCCTTCTGGGTGGTTTTAATTTGATATGGGAATCCCACTTAAAGCGAATATTTCCCTTTTTTGTTGGGACCTTCGTTACTATACATGTATTCCCGAGTCGTTATAAAACCCATTACACCGTGACCTGGCTCCCACCATTTATCACAGTTAATGGGAGCTGGCAAAATCGTATAAATCGCCGTCTTCAAAAACATCTTTTCTTTTTTTGGAGGGGGGTTCTTGGTTCCGCCGCGTGACCCTGGCAAGACACGCTGTCGACCGATCCCCTTTGTCACTTTGAAGATTCCATGGGATGAATAATAATCAAAGACGATAAAGGGAAGAAGAAAAAAATGTATATATAAATGCCGTTCAATGGACCTGTTCGCATCAAAGCATGCACCGCGAGAGGAACACAGCCTCGTGTATAAGCCGTTGGATAGGGGACGGGCCTCCCATGAGACTTGCCCGCACAAAGAAGATGGCTCTCGAATATGTGGTTGTGGCCCCGTCGTACAATGAATGATGAGCAGGAAGACACCGACTGTGGGAATTATAGATGACTTCATGATGCCTGTATGGACCCATAATGGCCGTTATACAAAGACTTCTATGGAGACAGTGATGTCCCGAGACGCCGGCTATAACCCTTGCTACGCGCTCCCCCCCCCCCAAAAAAAAACCCCACATTGAGACGTAATTGTCCCAGAAGAACTTTGCTGAATATATTTCATTGAAACCCATAAGGAAAATGATATTCCTTAAACTTAATATTCATTCCCTTGCCGTCATTTGAGTTTTATGACTGCAGAAAGAATCATGTAACATATTCTGTGATGGATATAGTCTTTCAAATGGTCGAGCCTTGAGAAATACTACTTGAGAAATATTTTGATATACTCGGTCATTATAACCTAACGCATGGCATGCAGATAGAACAGTTAGAACATGTAATGCAAATTGGACTTAAGGTTCACTCAAATATACCCTAACAGTTGATGCATTAGTGTGTGTAGGCTCTATATACTGTAATTGAACATTATCGATCAATGAAATGAGTTACTTATCTCGATAGGGGAATATCTGACAAGTCAATCGAAATATTTCGTGCTGCTATTGACCTGCGTTATAATCATAACGTGAATGTCCGCCTCCAGCACTGCATGTGAATTCCCGATGACTAATTCCGACTCATTTTTGTCTACTCTCCAATTCCTCTTAAGCAAAAAAATAATATTTAATTGTGCCCCACAACTGCAATGAATAATTGAATAGTTCAATTTCATCGGGGCACATTGCGCAAAGTCCATGCACTCGACGCAACAACCCACTGGGGACCGGCGCTATCGCCGAGTGCCAGTGGAGCATTTACGACGATACAGCGCTATGTCTATACACGGTTCACTTACTAAACACATTTCCTTTTGCATGTTCGGTCCAACTCCAAGTTTGTGTTTGGTTTGTGTGTGTGTGATGGTTGAACATGTCATCGTAACTATAGTACAGTTGAACAGTTCGATATTTCAAGTCATTCCAAGAACCAAAAACTCACTAGAGTACAGCACGATGTGATTGCAGGTTTGTTTTGTCTTTCTGAGAGATGTATTGGCATTGACGACTTCATAAAAACAAATGTACTAGTTAACAAGAAAACTAGGGTACCAAACGAACGTCCAGACTGAAATCTTGTTTCGATAAAAAGCAGCGCAACCGTTATTCATGTCAAGAATCTCCTTTTGTGGTAAGTTGGTTAGGAATGCGAGATCGGTAAAAAATGTATTTTCAAAATTTCTGAAATTTTTTTTTTTTTCGGATATATCACTATGATAATTGACATAAGAAGCACAGTCAGTTATTCAGATATTTATCGTCCCCAGTAATCTGAAATGGGTTTTGGTTCGTTTGGCTAATTAGTCTTGTAGCCTTTTTGAAGGGAAACACAAAGAAAATTATACCAGACTGCAAAAAATATATTCTAATTATTATCAAGAGAGTACGCAGAGACTAAAAAGCTGTTAAGCAAAATTCCAGTTAGAGATTCTGAGTTAATCTCCGCGAGTAATGCCAGTTTGTCTATTAAAGCGTGTTGTAATTACAAATAATCTTAAATTGCCTTAGCCTTAAGAGACACACCAGAAATCGTCTATGTCATTTCCCGCCGGACCCGCTATTCGGCACTCAGACAATAACCCCTCAAATCCCTCTCGACAAAAGAAAACAATTTTCAGATCATCAGAAAGGGCTTAAATAACAACCCGGTTCGGCTATCAGCCAGCTGATACCCTACGGGGGCCTAGCGCGCCGCGGGCCGGCCACGCCGCGCGCGCTGTGCCCGCTAAAACGGATACCGTGCGTCCGGACATAATCGCCCACCAAAGGTGACTTCCTAATTACCATGCAAATACAATGATAGTTGTAATTAGTCCGGTATATAGATGTAACTATTATTGCCTGACACCTTTTCGTCAGGCAGAGAAAATGGCCTATTCGGATTTTTGCCGCACGCCCGATTACTTCGTGGCTGATTTTTTTTTTGTCGAAATTAATCTGGTAATACGTTTACTGGATATCGGAAATGAGGTTTTGTTAATAATGAAAGCAGACTGGACCACGAGTGCTTATTGTTGTCGAGTGCATTACACAAGGATCATTGACCCATTTTTTTTGAAGAGTCAACTTTTTGACAGCTAAGTTTTCTTTGGTTAAGTCACGTCTGTTATGCGAGTAAGCAAATACATCAAGAACCGTCGTTCTACATTATGACGATATTACGAGGAATTCATGTTTTATGGGGGAAAACATCTGAAATTCATTATCTACGAGATTTTTGTTTTCGGTTTTGAAGACTTTTGATATTTCAGGAACGTCGGTGGAAGGTATTTTTGGATTTGCATTCGAATGAACATGAGCCACATGCACATGGATTATCATTTTGTATGCAAGTTTTGTGACAAAGACTTTGGACATATCCGTCTGGCTGATTTGGGACAAAAGAATGAACGAGGATTCAAAGCATGATCATGTCTCTTTTAGCTGAAACTTTTTTTTTTCAATGTAACGAAAAACAAAGAAATTGACTGACGCGGGATTTGAAACAGCAGACACTGGAAAACGTGCTCGCAATCTACCAATAAAGTTGTCCAGCCCCACGTTGGTATACTGTCAATTTGACAATGCCTTTGTTCAAAGTGCTCCTAAGTATTCCTTTTAACAGAGCTTAGATATTTCATTGATGAATTACACTCAAGAAAGTATACTGATCGAACATTTTGGAAAACTCGTCTGAATTATACATGATGCGTTTAGGAAAAACACGGTTCTGGAGCAAAGTTTTTCAGAGGGATGAAACACAAATTAATTACCATACCGAGAAAGGAATAATTTTGGGAAAATAACCACCCCTGCTCTCTAAAATTTTCGGGTCAGATTTGATCCGGAATCCTAGTCTTATTTGACCCTGATACTTTTCGAGGTCAAAAAAGACACTTTGGAGTCAGGGTCAAACAGACATTTCTCTAAATCATACTTCAGGTCACTTTGATCCGGAAAACTAGTAAAAGTGTCATTTTGACTCAGAAAGGTGTCATTTTGACTCAGAAAGGTGTCATTGTGACACAGAAAAAGGTGTCATTTTGAACCTCAAAAATACCGGGTCAAGTAGAACCCGGATTCTGGGTCACACAGGACCCAGGTTCCAGGTCGAGTCTGACCCGAGACTTCTCTAGAATGTTGACCCGTTAAACACGGAACCTCCTTCCCCATCAGACTCACCTGCCGGCCTTGGTGATGATCATCTCCGTGCCGATCTCGTAGAACTTCTGCCAGAGCTCCCTGCCTTCCAGCGTGACCTTGATATCCTTGGCCGGGGAGTTGGACACGGAGAGGTCCGGCTGCTGGCGCATGACGGCGGCCGCCATCATCTGCTGGGTGGCGGCGGCCGCGGCGGCCGACTTGTGGTCGTTGGCCCCCGGGAGCGGGGTGAAGTCCCCAAAATGGGAGCTCCTATCTGTTGGAGAAAATGTGAATATCAGCTTTTTAAAAAAATGGTCCATGGGACTATAGATATTTTAATCATAGGTAGAGCTGCAGACGAGTCAATCATAAGTCTTCACAAGTCCATGACAAGTCCTCCATATCACAAGCTATTGAAAATAATAAGCGGTGATAAACGCATTCTCTTGCTATTCTTTAACCCCTGTTATTAAATTTTGTGGAGTTTAACCGGATTTGTCATGGATTCGACTACTACACAGCTCAAAGGCGAGCTTATTTCCATTTTTCCCCCTGATTTTTTTCCCCTCTGAATTCAGGTTTGGATTTCAATTCCACGGGGTTTCATTGTTCTGTAACCTTTTCTTTTGTTGGCAAACCTTTTATCCAGTTTGCGAAATATAACATACATCACATTATTATGAAAACAATCACTAAGTTAGAATCAAATTAAATCAAATCAAATCAAATCACATACACATTTATTTCCTCTTAATGGCAAAAAATAATGCAAGTATTAGTTGAGATATAAAAATCAGAGGTGGCAAAACCTACAAAGCACAGCTTGTATCAGGCATGCCATTACACAAAACAGACGAATTATTGAAGAAAATTAATTATATTCTAAGCATTAAAAACCAAAGTTTATAAGGGCATGAATGATAATGTCAACCTTTAATGAGGTACTAAATTTGAATTAACCAATCTATAGTCCTATAAATACATAGAACTTCTGAATATTGTAGAGGGCGTGCAGAAACAAACAAACAAACAACAAAGATAGATAAAACGGTTATAACAGGGAAATCTAAACTGCTTGACTACAAATCAGCTTATATTCGTTGAGTACATCGAGTTTCCGAGTATAAATTGGCAATTGACTCAAGCGACACGGAGTGTTCATCATTTTGCCGTCAGATGTATGTCGATGAAAATACCCGTAGCGTGACAAAACAAATGACTACGGAAGTCGGAACGAGTGGCTCACTCTGTGGTTTGAGGAGCACCAGTAATCACTCATGGGACTGGCTCAGCCATTGAGCGATGTGGCTATGGCCAGGGCTTTGTGTGCCTGTTTGGCTCGTCCGGCCGATACACACTTCATTAGTCCAATCACGGTACAATAACAATAGGAAGCAGAGTTCTTGCTTCTAGCAGAAGATAATTGCTCAGTGAATCCAAGTGCTTAATCTCAACCGGAATATAGCCACAAAAATCAAGACTATTATTATGCAAAACCGGTAGCCGTATTTGATGGGAAAATGTGTTTAATGCTTTAATAGCAATGTGCTTATAAGCCCATCACAGACGCTGGTTATTACACGTAACATGCATGTAAACTCGGTCACAGATTGCATGGTCGTAATTTTATTTCTGTAGACAAACTTTAAAAGCTTGACTTTTCAAGAAATGATTTGGAGGAAGAAATGAATTTAATTAGCCAGATACAAACTGAGGTTAATATCAAAAGTGGGTTTTCAAAAAACCTCCGGTAGGCTAACTACAGCGACTATCATGAGTCATCATGAGTGTTGTTTTCATAAAGACGTTACCTTTTATTCGTTACAAAAATCTAATCTCTGCCACAGATTAAAAAAAAACCTCTTAGGTTAACTGTTCATTAAAATTATGTTTTAAGTATTTAATTTTGAAACGGAAATTAAAACTGTATAATTCAGCTTCAAACGGTCATTTTGAAATAAACTTATGATCATGTTAATGAAACAGGTGAGCATATGTTCCAATTTCAAATGTTACTGGGCAGAAATTACTTTAGGTAATTATGTGGACTACAAAACAAACACACATTTTTTTACATGGAAAATGGGCCATAACAGTAATTGGTCTGATGTTTCTGGGTCCGGTTTACAAGACCATAACATTAACATGATTATTGAAACCGCAGACTGGTGATCGACCCAGATAAGTTTCAAGCTTCTAGCCATTGCTCTTTTTTTTCGTCTTTTCTTTTTCTTTTCTGTTCTTCGGACATCCCGCCCCGTCAAAGAACCATGAAATTAATTTCATAGCACGTGCCCCACGTCTAAGCCAATTACACCATGTCGCGATTGGTTAATGCCGCGGCGAGTTAAGGGGGGAACAACTTCCGCGGGACGGTACCGCCCCGGGCACGGTGCAGCGCGCACCGCGGCCGAATCCGTACGGGGAAGACGGCACGATCGACGGCAGGGGGAGTTTACACTTGTCCGGTCAGCCATGAGTAATGGAAACAGGTCAGAAAGAAAAGTATAATGGACTTCTGAGAAGGATTTTTTTGTGTGTGACGCCAAAATCGAAGAATACTCGGAGAGCATGGTGATTTTTTTTGTATTCCTAGAAAGTTCATGGATTTTAGGTTGCAACTACCAGGCAATGTTAATTTTCGCGGCATTTTCTATTTTTAAAGAAGACCTCTCCTGACATATACCGTTTAGAAAAAGGAAATGCAGATGTCATGTTAAGCTATAATGTAAACAAGGCCCAAGCAGTGCGCTATACGAAAATAGGGAGGCCTCTACCGATTGACAGCCAATCTATGTGGAAAATCCACCTTTTGTTACATTTATATTTTCAATTTATTCAGCACAAAATTTGCGCATAAAATTAAATCGAGTCAGAATATAAACAATGAGCAATTAGATGACAAATAAAATATAACAAATTTGGTCTTGTTTACGAAATACGACTTTTGAAACAGTTAAGGGAAAATGTTTTACAAATTAAGCAAATATATTAATAGAAAAACATCACCTTCCTTTTTTTAAGTGAAATTATTGTCTGATTTTAAAATTTATTTATTTTAAATCTTCAGACACAAAATAAAAGTGATAAGGTTTAGTGGACTATAACTCTTTAAATCCACTGAAATGATGCATCAACATCCTAAGACGTAGGAAGATCGTAATGGTTTTGTGTGCTATTCATTTTTGATAGGGAAACATTCACAGACGTAATGAAGCATCCCAAATGCAAGTTAGAAAAAAAAGATAAAAGAATTGAACATTTTAATTACTTTTTTTGTGACACTTCCCTGAAATCTCACTCGACACTGCAAAACCTTTTTAATCGAAACAACTGTGAAACTCACGACTGTTTTTTTTAGTCAAAAGTGTTGGGAATCCGTTACAATCCCAAGGGCGTGAAACTTTGCCGATTGAGAAAAAACACTAAGGGTGAGTGGACTTGGGAACTGAGACCAAACAAAACGGAGAAAGGGAGAAATAAGACACGTAAACAGAAAAGGCCTACCTGACATGCCAGAGAAAGGTAGCGCGTTGTGATTAGGTGGCTGCATGGACAGTCCAGGGTACGGGAAACTCCTAGGTGGTGGCGGCACAATGCTGTTAAGGGCAAAGGCGTGTGCCCTAGCCCGCTGGCTGATGTAGTCCTCACTTCCCTCATACATCATACCTGCGTACGACCCCCAAGTCAGGCGACAAAATCGAAAGACGCGGGCGACGAAACTCGCGACTGGTCTGAAAAGCCGGGCCTCTGCGTAACGGTACCAAAAAACACGCCTATTCAGGTCCCGACCAGCACCGAGCTGTTGTATGGTCCGCGACTGCAGATGCGCCGGAGATATAAAGTCCGTGCCAAAAAAACGTTGATGGGTCTGGTGGACACCAATTAAAGACTTATTATTTGGCGAGTATATTTTCCCGGGATCTGTGCTCGCACACACACGCGCGCGATAGAGGCAGTCCTTACTCTCTGCCAGTCCGCGTCATCAACTGAACGCCCGCTGATTGGCCGGCCGGCCTGCCAATCAGCTTGCTGTGCGCGGCCCCGTCGTCCAGGGCACACACGCGGGGCGCCGCCCACCGTATTTACTCAAGGTGTTCGGCGGGTGTCGGGAGCAGAAACTGCTCGCACAAAAGCGACAATTTTCGCGAGGGGGGCTCTTTGTTGGCCGCGCTCACCTCTTTCTTGTTTGTTGGAGGCGGATTTTCCGGTGTAACACGTGCGTTTAGAAGCTGAGTAAACCCCTGTCTAGGTTTTACTGGGGACCAAAGCTGACGTGCCTCTGATCGGACCCTGTGATAACATTCTCCGGAGAGGCAAAAAATGTTGTCAGGAGTTTGATATCCCATGTCGTGTAATCGTCACGCGTATCAGCGCACGCGCACTTTGTTTGTTCAACATTTAGCTGACAGACAACAGAAACTAGGCTAAGAATCTTGTAGTAACCAATCGGATCGCTGGAGTGCGGTCTGAAGATGATAGACTCCAAAGCAAAGCACGATCAACTTTTAAAACACTGAGAAAAGGGTTTTCATGTGAACACAATGGCACGCACGCTTTTTAAAACCTCATGTATAGTCGAGTGTAAACATATACGATTGGGCCTTTTGCTTTTATACGCATTCATTATTAGAGCTTTTTTTGGTAAAAAATATCAACAAACATTGTCTAGTAAGTATCAATTCACAGATGCGAATTGGAAACCTAAAGAGCTTAAAATTCGTGTCTACTTTTCAATCAAGAATGTCATTGTTGTCTATTAAATCCAATGCCATTTTTCTCCTCTGATAGTACTCACGCTTTATCATCCTAAAGCCTCTATTTACTTTTTTTTCAAACGACAAGAAAGGTAATTCCGGTTCAAGGTTCATCACCATTGTGAAAGGTATGCACGGACTATTTAACCCCAATACTTGTCCGACAAATCAGTGTATCAGTGTATTTACCAAAAATACCAACATCAACAACATATTTGATGTAGATTTTGTTTTTCACAATCACTAAAGATGAAGCCTGAATGTTGAGATAATGTTCACATGAGGTTTCGATAAATCTCATGCTAGGCCAATCGCCTGCACCTGAATAATGTATCAAAAAGGGAGACTCATAGAGTTCCCTATTGCCAATCAATTTGTTGTGCCGGCCTGCATGTACGACGACAAGTGCTTGCTGTAGTTGAGGTTGTTTTTTAAAGAGCAGATTTCGGGGCCGCTCCGTCGTGCATCATTTGCTAGTCATGGAGAGACGACCGGGGTTAATCATCACCACGCTCCAGTGGCCAGGGCTGATCGGCTTGACCGTAAAACGCGCCGCGTTGCCGGCGCGGACTCTCTGGGTACCACGCTGTAACTTGGTGCACGGCTCGCGGGCCGCGGTTATTCGAGTACTGCTCACGAATAATACATGTAGCTATGATTTTTCGTTTACTGTTTCAAATACGCTGGAAATTGGAAAATGAGTCATAGTGGTTACCAGTGGGCGATTTGATCAAGAAGTAAGAATCGGAAAGTATTGACGCAAAGACTTTTTTGTTATTATACAAACCACTACATCGACGCGACGATCATTCGAAAGGCCTAGGGTGATAACGTGCATTAATCTGAATTAATCTGGCGGTTTTTCGCAACATTTCGACGGAGAAAGTGAGCGACACACAGATGAATGTATTGACGGACGAACGGATTATTTATTTTGAAGCGAGCAGTATGACTGAAATGTGGAAAGTCAAATTACGTCAAGAGATGGCGCTGTTTCATTTCAAATTTGAGTCAGGAATTCACACTTCCATGGTTCTAATGGACCTAAGACATAATGACGTCACGCTTTGTTTACATGTGCACTTTCCTATGGGGGCCAGGGGGACGCCAGCCAATCGTCCCCACCTGGCTCCCATAGGAAAGCGCACGTGCAAACAAAGCATGACGTCATTATGTCTTAAGGTCAAATGATTAAAGGAACGGTTTTAACCGTTCTGAAACCTCGGCAATGTTAGGGTATAGTACCACAATAAAGTGCCTTAGCTGTTACAAAAAAATGGATGCGTGGTCTGTGGCTCTGCTTCCACTGATATTACGCTTGATAACTCGAATACATGTCGAGGAATCCAGACTTAGCCATAGTCTCTTAAACAGCCGAGGACTAACTAGAAAGCTGAAGTCTGCTGCTATACGCTAGGTTATGCGAAATAACATATCGTTAGTGTGACAGGACACATTTAAATGAAATTTGCAAAGGCATGTCTTAACATTTGAAATGTCACTGCTCTTTCTTAATATGTCCGTCTGGACTACTGATACTATTTCGTTTTCCATGGCCCCAGTCATACGTGGATGTATAGTTCTTTTTGCCAAGATCTTGATTTCTGGGGTTTGTGAACCGAGACATGCACTTCGCATCTGCTGACAGCTTCTCCATCATTAAGAAGTACAATGCGCGTGTTGGAGACATGCTACATCTTGCCAGAGGCCACACAGTAATGATAACCCAGAGCCCTTCACGCCTTGTCTTGTTCGGTTGTGTGCTGGCCCCACTTCAACAGATTGCTCGGCCTGTAAGAGGGAGATTTTTTTTCTGTCTTAACTCGCTGTCTATTCCCCTGGTCGTCCCGGCCGGGATAAGGCTATTAAATCACGGCTACACCAGGATAATTCTATTTCAAGTTGAGTGATAGAGTCGCCCTTGCGTGCGAGATGGCTGCTGTTTCAGTATCCATGTGCAAACAGGAGGGAGTTTAGAATAATACGACTGCGTCTTAGATGGGTTGGGAAAGGGGGACAATCCGGGCTCCTTCGAGAGCAGCGAGGAAATTTGGCCGGGGTTTATTGCCGCTCACGCCCGCTGCTCTCCGCTATTCTCCCGGTACTTCTCATCATGAGAGACGCTGATGGCAGCGTTTGGCGAGTCTATCCACTGAGAGAGTTGGGTACCCAACCTTATTGTAGCTGCGCAGTGTATGGTTTCCCCATGGGAAACCAGGCCTGGCTATCAAGCATGCAGTGCGTAGCGCGCACACGCCGCCAGTCTGCGTCTACGAGCCGCGCACGGGCCGTGGTAGGACTTACGATCGACTGGTCTGACTTAAAACGAATTCCCGTTCGCCTGACTCAGAACTGTGAGAATGAAAGACAGAGAGAAAAAAGGAAAACCCTGGCTCATTGATGCGTACTGAATGCTATAGATTACATTATGCAGGCCCCATTGGTTTCCCACAGTGGAAAAAAAAGCTTTCGTTCTTCCGTTTATATAGACTCTGACAGTGGGATCAAGCTAGATCTAAAATAAACCGACATGGCTCACTGTCAGTGGGTGAACCGGGCTGACAATGCTGTTACGCAAAGCGTAGGCCCAAGCAATGTGAGTTGGCTAACTTGAAAGAGGGAGTGGAATCCAAAAGAAAAGTTGAACTACCCGATTTCTCTCACAATACCTGGGTAAATAAACATTTATTGAGAATCAGAGTATTAACCGAGAAGGCCCTAGGACACGCCCCCTGCATTATTGTTGTTGGAGGACGCGCGGCCCCAGTTGCGTGTTCAGTCGCAGGTCCAGCCAGCTCGGCGCCTGCCTCCCGTAGTCAGGCCAAACAACTGTACCTACTCTCGCAAGGTGAGGATCATTTCTAAAGCTCCGAAAACGGTAGTTTCTGCTCGTCCTTGCGCTGTTGGTTCTGACTCTCGGTTCAACACAATAGAAGGGAAAATGGTTTATTTTTAACAGAAGGATGGTTGCTGGTTTTGTACTTAACAATATAGGCTTCCTTAAGTACACAAGAAAAGAACTTAAAATGGTTTCAAAGAAGTATTGCAAAGAGTTTTATGCATCTAGTTAAAGTGATTTCAAACGAGTGGTAAACCAAAAGCCATTATTGGCGAAGAAGCTTGCCAGTGTGGGTAAGTCTACTGCACCAGTAAGCAGAAAGCGTGGGTTCGAATCCCAATCAAAAATAGATTTCTACACATTCCCGACAAAGCTTTGCATGGAATCGCATATTGAAACCAAAATGAGACTGCATTTGCACAACAGACTTTTAAGTCGTTACTTTGTAGTTGGCTAACTTTTTACATAAGCACACATTCAGGTGGTTGGGGACCGCTAGTATATCTTTCATATTGTCCAAGGGCTCATGGCACATGGTCTGGTAGACTGGTTTCAAGTCCGAAAGGTCCTACCAATCTGGCAAATCTAAGGCCAGGTAGGCTAGGCGTTCATCTCACGTGACCAAAACGGACCAGGGTCCATACCATTTCCGAAAATGCGCGAAGGTTTTCGAATATGTTTTCGATGACACTCGGATGCGTTCGAGATGGTTCGGGTGTTACTGCGTGTACAGAATGGTTGGAAATCGCCAACACAATAATGCCTGCCATGTTTTGTTATCCGAGTTTGTATCTGAAACTCACATTTACGGAGTTTGATGCCTGGCACAATAAGCAGCGTCTTGCGTTGTGTCTCGTGTGTGCACTCAGATGAGGGCGGGAATTCAAGCGTCATGTTCTGATTCTGAATGTTACGGCTATCCGACCGATAATCTAAGTCAGACCTGATCGTCAATTTTGGAACCACACTACACGACCCTAGGCCCTTGGCTTCTGTGTTCCATTGCACGACTGGTGTTTGTACTATGCAGTGTAGACAATATAAATACTGTTCCTTATTTTTCTGAAGGTAGTATACATTACACGAAGGAGATAAATATACAAATTTCAGCTTTAATGTTCACATAAATCTTGTCGCTCCGTAAACATATTTTGATGAGTGTCAATATAGGCCCCAAGATGAATACATTGCTAGATGTGATGATTTGCCGACTTCCTTGCATGTCTGTTATCTCGGCGTCTTTATAGTTGGTGATTTCGCTTTGAAGCTGAGATCCTTTTAAGGAATAATGAAAGAGTGAATGAGAAGTAAGTTCGGCCCTCGTCGTGTATACCTGACTAACAATAGGGGACAGCGAGACTG